CTCCTCCTGAGCAGAGCAGGGCCCTGGGTGGCAGTGACCCTCCTGCCACCTCCTGCCACCCCCAGAGCCACCCAGCGCTGGTGGCAGCAGGGCTGTGGCAGCCCTGCCCGTTGCAATGGCGCCCCACTGATGGCCCTTTTCTCTCTTTTTTTGTTTTTGTTTCTTCTCTCTCCCTTTGATTTTCCTTTGTATTCTCCCCTCCCCTGCTGTCTGGATCCCAGAAATCCCGTAAGGTACAGATAAGTATGACCCCCCACGCCTCCATCTCATCTGCCATTGGCACCTCCCTCCTTCCTTCCTTCCTATTTTTGTGTTTTTCATCTTCCCCATCTGGTTTAGGATCCTGTAGTTTAGTCCTTCATTCCCAGCCAGTTGTCACCTTTTGTTTTTGGGACCATTTCAATTAATCTGGTCATTTATTTTGTGTTAATCCCACACAGCATTAGTTAGTGCTCCATGTCACCCCGTCCTTGCTGTGGCCCTGCCTCCATCCCAGAGAATTCCCAGCAATCCTGGGGCTGGTGACAGCAAGGAGGGGATTTTCTCCTCCAGAACCACCACGTGGGGTGCAGGAGAACCTCCTCAAGCCATGGGGTGCAGGAGGAAACCTGAAGCTGCTCCCCAAACCTTGGGGCAGCCAGGCTGGATCCCTCTGGAAGGGGCTGGGATTGAGCAGCAGCCCTGCAGGGCTCTGAGTGATGTCTGGGGGACCCCAGTTTTGGGGGGCACACCAAAGCAGAGCCCCCTCCCCAAAAAATTCAATCCAGGGGAAGCCTTCCCCAGGTGCTTGCTGGGGGTGGGACCTGGCAGTCCTTGGCATGAGGAGGTTTCCTGGAGGCTCCATCTGTGGAATCATAAATAAAATATCATCAATAAATTACCATAAAATAAATTACCATCCAATCTCCCAAACGGAGAGACCCAGGGGACCATCAAGGCCAGCTCCTGGCCCTGCTTGGGACACCAGGGACGAGCTGACCCCTTGTCCTTGCTGTCCCTGTTCCCCCAGGTGCCTCACATGGTGCTGAACCTGAAGGAGCCCTTCTACGTGGGGGGAGCCCCCGACTTCTCCAAGCTGGCTCGAGCAGCTGCCATCTCCAGCGGCTTCGAGGGAGCTGTGCAGAAGGTGAGGCCCTGCTGGGACAGCCCCATGTCCTGCTGGCCAGCCCAGGGTCCCACCTGTCCTGGGATGGACCTGGGAGCTGTCCTGGTGGTGGAAAAGTGGCACCAGTGGGGGACAGAAGGGGAGTTTGGCAACGCTTGGATGGATTTCCATCGTCTTAGAGATGGACTCCCACCCTAGGGATGGGTTCGCATCTCCTCTTGTCCCCACTGCCTGGTGCCCCCTGGTGTCCACGGATCACCAGAGGTGGGTGGGCATGGACCTTCAGAGGATCCCAGCCTGGTTTGGGTTGGAGGAACCTTCAGGCTTCCCGTGTGCCGTGGGCAGGGACACCTTCCATCAGCCCAGCCCCATCCAGCCCAGCCTGGGACGCTGCCAGGGATGGGAGTTCCCTGGTTTTGGGTTTTTGGCCCTGAGCAGCTCCTGGCTGACCCTTCCTGCCCCTGCAGATCACCGTGGGAGGCGTGCCCGTGCTGAAGGAGGAGAACATCCGCAGTGCCAGGGAGGTGTCCCCGTTCCGGGGGCACCCCTGCACCCAGAAACCCAACCCGTGCCAGCACGGGGGCACCTGCAGCCCCAGCCTGGGCAGCTACCAGTGCTCCTGCCACAGGGGCTTCTCGGGGGCGCACTGCGAGAAAGGTGGGTGCCAGGGGGCTGGGGGTGCCACAGGGGCTGGGGGTGGCCAGGGGAAGGTGGAGATGGCCCAGGGGCTTGGAGGTGGCCATGGGAGGCTGGATGGAAAACCTGGAAGATCTCCAGCAGAAGTTCAGCACATCCAGCAGGGGTTTCCTGGCCATTCCTTTCCCATCTCCCAGGAATTCCCTGCCTTTCCTGGCCATTCCTTTCCCAGGAATCCCCTGCCTTTCCTGGCCATTCTTTTCCCAGGAATCCCCTGCCTTTCCCAGGCATCCCCTGCCTTTCCTGGCCATTCCTTTCCCAGGAATCCCCTGCCTTTCCTGGCCATTCCTTTCCCAGGAATCCCCTGCCTTTCCCAGGCATCCCCTGCCTTTCCTGGCCATTCCTTTCCCAGGNTGTAATGTCAGTTATTGTGTTTTTTCTAATTTCAACTTGCTTGCTGCTCCGTTCATTGCTTAGGAGGTGCTTGTTTGTGTATGTGCTTTATATTATTTTTATATTTTTAATACTATTTCTCTGTCTTTTAATATTTTCTTCACAGATTCTCACAGACTTTTTAATTTGCCACAGTTGCAAACCTGCTTTTCTTACCAGAACAGATCGTTCTGCAAACTGATTTTCATTCTTGCTGTTCTTTCTCGTGGGAACTTCACATGTTCACACATTCAGCTGAGCAAGGCCTGATTTTAGAAGGTTTTTTAAGCTTTATTTTCCCTTTTTCCCCCCCAGGAGCAAGGAGCCCGTGCCCCTGGACACGTGGGTCAGTGTCCTGCTGGAGAGGAGCGGCCGCAAGGGCGTCCTGAGGGTCAACAACGGCCAGAGGGTCACGGGGGAGTCCCCGGTGAGTGGGGGGACCCCAGCCCTGCCCTGCTCACCTGGGGAGGAGTTTCTGGGGCTCCCGGGCTTTAAATCATGGATTTGAGTGGACTTCCTCAGGCTCCTGGGCTTTAAATCATGGATTGGAAGGTGGAAAACTGGAATGAAGGTGGAAAAGTGGAATTTCTCAGGTTCCTGGGCTTTAGATCATGGATTTGAGGGTGGAGAAGCGCCTGTCCCTCCCTGTCCCCCCGTCCCTGCCCAGGATCTCAGCCAGGTTTCAGGGGTGCCTTGGATGAGCCCCCCACCCTCTCCTGGAGCCCCATCCCTTGTTCCAGGTCCTCCCCTGTTGGCACAGCCACATGAGGCACCCCTGGGTCAGTAATTAATGATTAATTAAGAGCCCCCCAGCAGTGAGAGGAGCTCAGGGGTCAGGCAAGCCCCAAGCCCTGCTGCTGCTGCTGCTGCTGCATCCCTTGGTGCTTGCTCTGCTCTCCTCCCAGCTGGGAATTCTGCAGTTCAGCCTCTCCCTGTCCCTCCCTGTGCTGTCCCTGCATTCCTGGGGTCCCTTCCCTGCATTCCTGGGGTCC